TGGCGGTTGCAGCAGCAACCTACGCGTTGGCCAGGATGAGACTTCCTCCTCCAGGCATCTCCCCACCCGGGGGGAGTTCTAAGCTCCCGACAGGAGTGGAAGTTCGTTGAGTGACAGCGCGAGCGTAAAGAGTATAGGCCAAGAACGAGGAAGGAAAGGTCACGAGCGGCCAGTGGCCTGTTAGGAGGCATTCGCCTGGTACTGATACGAGAAACCACGGGCAACTACCGCCCAGAGCTGCCGTCCACTGGAATACTCCTGCAGACCATGGCCACGTTTGATCTATCTTTATAACTAGATGCGAAAAACCGCCGACGTCGGAACTGACCTTAGTCGTTGCAGATACAGCAATGCCGACAATGGGTGAGCTAAAGCCAGCCAGTACCATCTTTGCACCTCAAAACGTTTTCAGGAACGACACGAAAAGCTAGAAAGATCTTCTCGAAAAGTAACTTTTTACAATCGCTTACTGGGAGTTAACACGCCGCAACAGAAATAAGGTTTTGGCGAGCGGTCGTCCATTAAATTAAGTCCGTTCCACCCACTTCGAAATGTGTTTACAAGATCGTAAAGAATATTGGCGTGCGCTCCGCGGAAAATGCGGGAGGTCGGCTTTTGTGGGGCGCTTCGCGTGAATGCTCGGCGCGAGCCTCAACGCACCCCCCCCCCCACGGACCCCCAGGGGGCGCGGCGCCTCCCCCATTCACCCACGCGACAAAGGCGGCAACGGGGCCTGAGGACACCACAAATCCAACATTGACCTCCGAGCTTCTCGAGGGGAAGAAGGCCTCTAGTGGGCGATGAAAACCAATAGCTACTCCTTGCATTCGCGTTTAATGCTTGGCACATTTGAGGGGGAAAGAAAACATACAATGGGTGTCGAACAGGCACTGTAGTATTGGAGGATCTCCATCAGTCCTTGCAACAACACCAAACCAAAAAACAATTTACCAAATAAGAGGAAACTATAGAAAATTATTAGACGCAAGCTACAATATTTTCGAACATTAGTGAATTCCAAAAAACGTGCTACATGAACACGAATGGCCTTCCGTTCGACAGGCACGTATTTTTAATACTACAAACCTGAAAACATCACAATAGAAATGTATAGCAAGAAATGAAACGACTGTGAAAATGTTGGTGAGAAATTGACATTGCGATAGCAGTCCAACACACAAATGTATCAACTTCAGGTAAAGCAAATTATTGCAACATGTCAGAAGTGAATAGATAAAAGCCTTTGCTCTTACATGAACGACGATGCCAAGCAAAACTAAGGAGACTTGTTTGTATTTGTTGATATCTCTCGATAACGACCAACCCTATAGTTTGCACTAGGGGGAGGTGGTTTATTTACTCATTCCTTCACTGCCAGAAAAAACTCATAGGCCAGAAATCAAATGATGTTCCTGGCGAAAATAAAGATATTGGAGATTCTATATGTGACATCTAACATTCTGTACGTAGTGTTCTGTTAAGTATTGTTGAAGCACTTTAGACTAGAAGGATCGGAAAATCCTGCAAAGTTTTTTTTCCCTCTCCCGAGATATTGAGATATCCTTCAGCGATCACTCCCTCACATCGCCAAGCCAATCCGGATTTTTCAGTCCCGAGAGACCAGTTTATTCGTTTCAAACCTGTCTAGCAAGAAGTTCACCAAGATATAAAAGACGTAATTGGGAACTCTTGCAATTCAGGCGAAAGATTGTCTCATTCCAAACCTCTTCTAAAAACAGAATTTATCAGAGCATTTTCTCAGCACTAGCACAAGAAATTTTATCACGGAAGAACAAAAACTGCTAGCGGATAAGCAGATCAGAGCCCCAGACCCAGCACGTAGAACGCACATAGAATTTTCCTGCTAAGACCATTTTTGTCGACATGCATTTATCGCACACAAGACATTCTATTTCCTCTCCCCTTGGCCCCGTTGCACCCAGACAAGGCTCCGGATCACAATACCCCCGAGACAGCGATCGGCGGAAAACAGAAAACGGAAAAGGCGCGACCCGGGGGAAGGAAGGACCATCCTAAAACCTAAAGGCATTATGCATATGGCAGCATCCCGCACCCTCCTCCCCTCGCGGGCGAACGGCGCACATGTGGAGGCGCAACCGCCGCGACAGCGGAGGCACGTGGTATAAAACTTTTTTCGCCGGGCGCAGAGAAAAAGTCCCGAGGGGGGTCCGGTCGTCGCACGGGGGCCCAAGAAGAAGAGGGGGCCGAAGCGCCGGAGGAGGGGCGGAAAGGAAACCTGAAGGCTCCGCGGGGCGGGGTGGAAGAACCGGAGCAGGCAGTGCAGGGCGAGGCGAGGTGGTGCTGGTGCTCATTCAGTGCAAGGTTTTGTGAGCGCGCGCACCTCCTCGTCGACGCCGCGCCGACGCCGGGAGAGCAACGCGGGCGACCGCGCGCGCGCGAGACCGTTAGGCCGGTCTGTCTCCGCGGGGCGGCGCGGCCGTCGGCGGCGGCCCCGGCGGCCGCTGCCCGCGGGGTCACGGGCGAGGTCAGCGCCAATGCCAGACGGCGGCACCTGGCGGCGACCTCGCAGCTCCACCTCATCACACCGGGCACCGCGCGCCGCAACTTCTCTTCTTTCCCCTTTCCGTTGCTGAGGAGTCGCGGACGCTTCTAGATTCAAGTGATCGTTGTGGCCACACTGGCGCACATTTGGCCCAAATTTGATTTATCTTTGTGTTTAAATGGCCAGCAATACTGGAATTCCGGAGGAAAATTAATCTCTACATACCGAAGGCTCCAGATTTCATTCAACTCAATTGGAGATCGCTGTAAGACGTTTGTCATTAAACGTAAATGGGTATGATTTTATTCAATGATTTTCCCTCTCCTTTACTGGAAAAAGGAATATATCATTGTTCAGAATACCATATGTTCCTTGCAGGTTTTCCATATTATTTGACTACAAATTTGATCACTAAGTTAAACACAAAGTGTTTATAATGAAGAGCTTTCTTGAAACAATACGGTACATTCATAAAAAAGGAAAAACTACAGGAACTATTCACCAGAAACTTGCACGAAATCACAATACGGTATTTTATTTCTTGGATTATTACAATCCAAGCAAAAAGTGTGCAAGTATGAGTTGTTAGAGCAATGCTTCCCTCAAATACATTTTACTTCCGTAATAAAATATACATTGTATTAATACTGGTATGTACACTGTCAGACACAAATGAGGGAACTCATTTACCGTACTTCGCAACTTGCACTACACCAGACAAGTGTATAACCAAACATTTCAACCCTGGCAACAGAACTTGAGGCGAACAAACCCACACCAGCTAAAGATTTACTACCCGTATGTATTACATCTCCGATGCGTTCAGTAAGATGCAATGTTTGAGCGGCATCTATGGTGGGAAAAGCCATACAACCCCATGACATTAATAAGTTCGGAACAGATGGGTTGGGAGCAAGAACACAATCTCAGCCGCTACGAACCTCGGTGAAGTTCGGGAACTATAATATTTATTTATATATTTTCATAAATGTGATCGTTTGTGCTCTAAGTTGACGCAGAAGAAAGGGCACTATGAGTAACTAATGCATAATTGTATATGTCACAAATATTTTCAATACGAAATGTTCTAGTTTATTTTTATGTTTATTTGTAAAACATATGTAGAAATTATTATTATTATTACTATTATTACTATTATTACTATTATTATTATTATCATCATCGTCGTCATCATTTATTATTATTACATTGACTGGACTAATAGACTGATCAAAATATAATTATGCAAATAACAGAATGGTATGCACAGAGTTTGGTTTGTTTCCTTACCTAGCAATAACACCCCTTCATACAAAATGAATCATGTGTATGCTGCAGAATGTTCAGCAACTTAATATCACACATTTTGGAATAATTTGCAAAATGCAATATGTCAGTAAGTTCTTCATACAAGTCATAATGAAGCAAAATCTCCCATTACTGAACACATATTTGTGATCGCAGAAATTCAGAAACAAAAAGAAAAAAAAAAGAGAAAAAGCTCTTGATTCATTGCCAGTTATGCAATTGTATAAGAACCTGACGTTTTCATTAAGCCGTTTATAATAGAAAACTGAATTAAAGAAAATAATTGATACTACACTGATGCATTAACATTGTATACACAGCAGAATTGCATTTTAACCTATTATGCAAAGAATATATCCAAACATTCCCAATGTCAAACACCTTCAGTTTGTTTAATTATTATACTCTTAACATGAATTGTAGATTGTGTAAAGAGTCTCAAAATTCATTAAGCTAATTTTTAATGTGTTCTGAAAATCTGACAAGCCAAATGCATTTCAACAAAATATGTTTGTTATGATATCACTGGATGATTCCCTGTACGATGCACTGCCCAGTGAATAAGTGAAGTTGGGATCAAACAAGCACGCATAAAATATAACCAACCCTCCCAGTATACAGTTCCGATGACACACAATTTACATTACACAATAATTAATACACCAGTAGAATAAAATTTATAACATATTCAAATACGTTATATTTTTCAATCGGGGAACTACTACCACACACTGCACAATTTTAGTGTTTACAAGTGCAATAAAGAGATTCTGAGTAAGAATACAAATGTTTTGTAACCCTGTAAAATGCTGTATACAAATCAATGATGAACTACATTCTATGTAAAATCATGTTATTACAAATGGGGCATAAACATTCCCTGGGTCTACAAACATACACTTGCCACAGCATGTAAACAAATCTAACAAGTATCAAACCAATGATTCAATATCACATCTTTCATCATCAATACATCATTTTTATGAGCAAAAGACAACACAGCAAGAGTATATACATATATTGTGCTGAAATTTAGAATTATATTCAATCTGACACTATTGAGATGTTCCTCTTAAATAAGCAATGGGACTCTTCTGAAGTCAAGGGAAAAGTAATGAAATATTGTATTACACAAACAAAAAAAATATTACAGAACAACAGGACTTACCAGACTGTAATGATTTAATACGATGAGCTGGGGGTGTATCTTCTAGGTTGCACATGGACAGTTTTCTTCGAGGGGTGGTAGAGAGATTTGTGTCACTGAGATTCAAGGCTAGGTTTGTCATGGGAGAAAATGCAGGGCTAGAATTATTTAAGTATGGTGAAGAATCCATGAAATTTAAACGCAAACGACTACGTTCAATTTCTTTGAACTGGGACATGATGATTGAGGAAATTTAGCAAGTAATGCAGAAGGGTTTGATATTAGGAACGGAAAAATGGAGATTAAAATCAAGGGAGGTGTGAAATAATTTGATCCAGAACCCCTGTTAAGAAAAGAAAAATAACCAAGTTAGACCTCAAATTACAACATTTCAAAATAATCCAACCCTACAACTTGTCCAATTAAACACGGAAAACTGCGATATTAAATCCATACAAACTCAATACTATAGTTTTGTGCCTAACTAGAGTTTTTACAGTACTTTTTTTTCTCCTCTTCGAGACAAGAAATTCAAATTCCTCAAATTTTTAACTAGTAAAATAAATACTGACAGCTCTAATAAATGCATGCTTTTACTTCTGGCCTTATGCAACGGCCTATATTTTCTCATAGAAAAGGTATTTTAGACAAATTTTAAAGCAATACTTACCTTGCAAAGGTATCACGAGAAAAGTATTCACAGAATCCTCCGTTTTCAGAAAGTCGAAAATGAATTGAACACGTAAACGAATGCAAGATCAATAGTGCATCGTTAGGTGCCGCTTTATGTAGTTGAAGTCATGTTTACAGTTTTTGTAAGAGATTGTTAATTAAAATAAACACTTCACACAAACATATCACGCATTCAAATAAACACACACATACATCCCTCCTCTCAGTCTAGCTCCACCACCACACTGACGCATTCACTCAAGTTGAACGAAACTGCTGCCGTTCGGGGTTTCTGGGAATGTTATATGCTTCTACCATATGCCGCTAGTAGCGCTAGCGCTCAGTGCTATGAAACAAATAGTGTTCCGTAAAATTTCAAAACTTACTATTTTGTCAAATAATTAGAAGAAAAATAATTCTTGTAAAAATATTCACAGAAATATATTTTATGTTTTTTCCTTCATTATGATTTAGAAGTGTAGATCACTTTAAAGTGTTAGTTTGACTCAGATTTTAAAATGACGAAATTGGCGCGAAGTTCAAAAAGAATGTCGTGAGAAAATTTATTGATGAAAGTTGTATGAAAGTACTATTTGAAAGAATTGTTAAAATTATTATCATTATCATTATTATTATTTTAAGTAAATAGGTGGAACGATCTTTAAAAAAGTACCCTAAATTTGGGGAAATAATACGTAATGGATGTAATTGGTAATTACTGGTAAATTGCCAAAATGAAATAATTTGCAAGTGACAACATACCACCAAATGATTGTCTTTTAGATAATGAGTACAATACTCTCAGTTACTATTGATTTTGACAATATTTTCATTTAAATTCATCAAAATAATATTCTGAACTAGCTGATTGACATGAAGTTTACTATAGGTTACTTTGCCCCCGGCGGTGGCACTGTGACATCCTAGATCCTAGGATTTCGGAAATTATTCAGTTTATGTATAAAATTGAAAATGGACAAAAAGAAACGAAACAAAAATGGAAATGTGAAAAATTATGGATACTCTTGGAGATATACAGTTGAGTTGTCTGAATAAAAGTATTATTTTTACCTACGACGAGGTGATAAGTGAAATTTGCGCAAAAATAGGAATACTATGTATAAGATTCTTCAATGTAACGCTGCTCTTATTGATTTTTTGTAGCACTAATTATCCTAAGCTTTCATTGTAACACTCCTTTTCGAAGACAATGGAAAGTCAGGGTTTGACACAAACGAGTAAGATTACTATCTTAACTGAGATGTTCATATAAAATAATTAAAGTAATAAATAGCAACCGTCCTCCCTGCTCGTCGAGAGAAACTACTGAAAATCATAGATAAACCTTTGAATGAAGCATGTTCGACGAAACATCTTATTGAATCTAGTTTCCTTAATAATGATGTTATTTAGTTTTCTATGGTGCAGTTAAGGTTTCATGCACGCACACACGCACGCGCGCGCGCAAAGGCGCACTTGCATGCGCACGCACACACACACACACACACACACCACATTCATTTAATGACTGTGAGCAAACGAAAATTTAATAAAACCTGGGAGATACACACGAACACTCCCTTGCATTACACCAAACAAGGTGAACAGTAAAAATTTTCCTCGAAAATATATTTCAGCCTACTTTTGCTTTTGAAAGCTCCTGTGCCTTCAAAATGTATTTTTTCCAGATTAATATTTTGTAGTTTAACCCATCAATTTTTTTAAAATATGATATTGAAAGAATAGTACATAAGCATTTAACAGGTTCGAGGAAAAATGCAGGAAATGCAATATAGAGTGAAGGAAACATTGCGCAAACCAATGTAAAAGGTATTCTGGCCTCCGTCCTTTCCTTCCAATGCTATATTTGGATACAGAAGATTGCTAGTTGGTACCGACTTTCGCAACCGCTGAGTCAACTATGCTACCCATTGCAGGCTCGCCTCCCCAGTTCATGTGCCTAGTGAAAGTCATACGAGTTATTGCACATCAAATGAACATATTTTTTCCACGTTCTTTAACATTGCTCCCACGGATTTTTCTGAGCATTTGGAAATACATTATTTACGATGATGTATATATTATCAAATTAAAGCAGATACGTATAACCAATTTTGGTATTATTGGTATTTGTGAAAATTATATTTCACTCTCATTGGAAAATTGTATATTACGTACAACTTAATTTCTTTCTGTGACGAACAGCGAAAAATGTTTAAAAATTAATATTGTGACTAACTTATTTAAATATCAAGCTTAAGTTTGGAGATGTTTATAAAATACTATTTATTTACCTCAAGCGGAATATGCAGATCGCTTTGCGTGTGTTTTGAGTCATAATTACACGAACATTCAAGTAGTAATTCACATGACAGTTTAAATACAAACTGTAACCATTATTCAACAATCCAAACATTAAATTCATAAAACTTACTCATAAATCCTCACAAGTATATTTTGATTTGTAATATATACAAAAGCAAGGCAGGTTAATTGTCAATAAAATTTTATGGAAAACTTGATGGACTAATGCGTGAAATAATATTTTTTGGTTCTGTTATATGAGTTTGATCAGGCTAAAGGCTTGCTCTCGAAACAATTTTTTTTACTGCCCGTTCTCTATCGGGAGGTCCTGACCCCGCTGAAGTGGGAAGAAAGGTCACTCCACAGAAACATTAAAATCTTGAATAACAGGAATACTTATTTTTTCTTGGGTTAATAGTACTGCACATTAATGCCATCTGAAAATTATTTTAATGAGCTTCTCTTTTCTTTCAGCGATGTCAGTTAAAACCTTTGTCACTGTTCATAATTGTTCATAATTGAATGGTCATGTTTTTCAAAGCTAATGTGTTTCAAAGTACTTTTATCTTTGTAACAAAATACTGAATGGTGAATAGGAACCTGTACACATTTGACACAATTATTCGGAACAGAATCTGTACGATAAAATAATATTGTTTCTGCAAAATCACACAGAACTGCAGTCTTATTGTTGCAATTTACACTGATTGAAGCAACCTGCGAGATTTTTTTCTGAATATTGTAGTGAAAATATTCATTCATGGGTTCCATTATATTTTTATATGCTAGCCGAAATCCTTAACTACGCTTTCTCAAGTCGCGGAAGTTAAGCGAACCCGAGACTCGTGGGTTCCTGGTCGGTTGACCGTCTGCCAACCCCGGGATCTAACGGCGCAAAGAAATCTACTGCGCTGGCTTTCAACGGCCGCTGCAGGCCAGCCAGTGCAGCAACAAAGCCTTCGCCCCCACAGCGCGGCTTCATCTCGCGCGGGCGGAGTAGGGAAGGTGTTGCGCCAGCGGACTGAAAAGGGTTCGTAAGCACATTTGTATGAAGTCTAACGGGACTTAATCTAATGACTAAATTGTAAGATGAACATTTCCTTAAGGAATGCATTTTTAGAAATGTAAGAATTACGAATGTAAATTCATTTTTAGAAATGAGATAATGCAGTGGCAATCATTGACTAATTAATTTCACAATATTTAAATTGTTGTCACATTAGAGAAAATTTTGTTTATTAAAACCGTAAAATCCTTTTTCCATTAAAACCTCTCGACGATTGGCTCCTATATGACGACTGCAATGGTTTAATTTTAAACCGTTTATTGTTTTGTAAAAGTTGGCCGTCTGTCCGTCCGTTTGCCCAACCGGCGGACGAAGCCTATCCGCATGTCCGTGTACTGCCCAAGGAACTCTAAATCGAATATCCAATATTTACCTAAATTGGTATTCACAAGTCGACCTGACTGATATCGCAGCACTTCCAATGTAAAATGGACCTTCAAAGTTTGGGGGTTCATTACGTAAAAACCCAGCATTTTCGAAATCTTCTGTCTTACTTTTCTTCTTCGAATAGAAAAAGATATGCTTATAAAAAGTGGAAAAAAAAAGAAGATTGCATCTTGACTTCAGATCTGAGGAAAAGTTTGATTTTTTCCGAATCAGGGTACAAAACGTGAATATTCCTCACAATCATGGAATCGACTCTTGCATCATTACAGAACTTCCTCTACAATATATAAACGAAAAAAATAATGTCCTGGCAGCCACGAATCAGGGTCTTTTTTATTAAGAAAATTCCATTTTCAGGCCAAAGAAACCAAACGCATACAGGGAGAACCTAGAAACAAAAAGTTCAACTTTATTGTCTAGTTATCACCACTTTCTTTAAGAAGAGAAAACGTTCAGGATAAATGCAGGAAAACCTCGTTAACAAAAACCCACGGGTCGGAAGAATTGGAGTCTGTGTTATAAAAAAATATTATCCGATGCAAAAAACAATATTCTACAACATTTGAGTAGACCGACTTTTATTCATTTCCCTGTGTGTACGCCATTCAGGAATAAATTACCCATTACTCAACTGTAGTTGACTTTTCTTCCTCCAGAGTGCGTGATAAATAGTATAAGTTACACGATTACCATTTTTTCCTCCTTAATTCTTGGCGAGTCTTGGACAGAACTAAATGGTTAGCAATGAGTATCTGGGGCGATACTGTTTGGATCTTCCGCGCGTAATGATCCGCTCACTCACCGCCTGTGGGGACGGCATTTTTAGGTCAGCGTGACGGGCGTCGGGGAAACTTCAGCTTCTGCAAGCGTAGGCATAATCCGGCGAGCCAGCCATCCGGGCCGGAGGCGCCCCCGAAACCTGGAAGGACGCGGAAATCCGCCGCTGCCGGGGGGGGGGTATTAGAGCGGAGGCGGCGTGAAGCACTGGGTCGAAACGGGCCGAAGGGCGCTTACCACAAGAAAATCACTATTGTAGTCGCTTATATACTTGTGAGGCAGATTCAATTAACAAGAATTTCATTTTCATGAATTTGCACTAAAGTGGCACTGTACGCATGAATGAATCCCTCTGGAATACGTCAGTCTGTAAGCAATTGACAGTAGTAGTAATACGCAGTGTAGAAGGAGAATTGTGTTCATCTCTACGAAAAGGAAAGCCGAAAAAGATAGAAACTTGGTAGAACTAGAAAGTGAATAAAAAGCTAACCAACATCTCTTTTTTACACAAACACAAGTAAAAGTGGGTCTCTCAGGGCATACAAAGCGTGCTATGCTTATAAACGTTCAAGCTTTAGCACTAGTGCTAAAAGCGAGACTAAGTTCAGGCGATGAGATTAATCTGTGAATGCAAAGAAAACAAAATACTTCCGTTTGAGAATCAGGAATTGCGCGTTATGTATGTTCAAGTGATTTGTACACTTGAATTAAAATAAAATAAACCATTAAGGATGTCTAAAA